TTGGAAGGATAAGTGTTAATAAGAAGCCAAGTACTTTGCATCAGGATAGTAAGTAAGATGATTTGGAAACATATTATCAGCAAGACAACACCCATCACAGGCTCAAAGAAGCAAAATCATAAGCTTTTGCTTTGAGAAGAAAGCCCCAGAGATACAAGCTTATTCAGGACTGCCTAGGTAAGTGTTTCCTGGAATTTGGTCATTTGGTCACTCAGAAGTTGCTACGGCCACATTTCAAGAGGTCTAGGCTACTGCTCAGACTCACAGCAGACCTTGGCATCATCATTTTGGTGCTGGTTTTTCAGGCATAGAAAATGAAAGAGTTGTGGTGTCATGAAGACTTCCACCAGAATTTCAGAAGGTGGCCTGGAAGTTAGAAATGATGGGAATATGGAACCTCTGCCAAGAAAAGTTGCAGGGAGTGAGCAGAACCAGACTAAGAGAGAAGCCAGGTGGGCTGCACCTGGGAAGGCCACAGGGCAGAGCTGCTCAAGCTGCTTGGTGCTCACCTCTCATCACGGCTCTCCCTGGGTGCTAGAGGTGAAGCTGGATTTAATGTTTGACTTCTGATTATCAGCCTTGATTTGGTACGATTCTTTCCTATCATGCTGTCCCTCCCTTTGGGAATGGGGATATTTAGCCTGTGCCATTGTACATTGAGATTATACAACTTACTTTTTAAACAGATTTTCTATAGAGTTTGACTTGAAGCTCAGAAGAGACTTGGAATTTGGGGAAATCCTTAAATTACTGAGATTTTGGAGATTACTGCATTTTCAGTCATATGCAGAATAAATGAATTATATTAGGCAGAATTATGAATGTGCTATTTTGTCTTGGAGATTACGTATGGTTTAAGCAGATGTGTTTGGGTGCGAAGTTAGCAAGAGAAGGCTTATACCATTAATCCAGATGTTTCACTTTCATTGGATTAAGAAAAGTCCAGTAGATTAGTGAAGCGTGCTCACAGGCATGGCTGGCTGAGTCCTGGAGGTGTCACATGAGGCAGCACATACGGTCCCTAGCCCATTCCCTTCCAGTGCTATTACCCTGCTTTGCTTCTTGGCTGCCATGGGGTAAGCATCTTTGACCTGTCAGGGCCTTCTGGGATGCTACTTCCACCTGGGAACCGGCTATACAAAGTCTGAACCCTCAGAAACACCGTAAACAAAATTAACCCTTTCCTTCTTTCTAATGTGAGTGTTAAGCATTTTATCCCAGCAATGGGAAAGCTGAAAAATACAGGGATTCTACAGCTGTTTCAAATATACAGAAAAGAATCAGTAAATTCAAAGACGACTTGAAATTAATTAAAGTAAATTGCAACTAAATTGTAAAACTGAAAGAAGTAAAGCCCCATAGGGGAGCTAAGTTACATGGTCAAACAAACAAAAAAAATACATGTATCCCAGTGTCTTCAGGAGGAGAAGACAAAGAGAAAGGAAAAGAAAGTTTATTTACATATATAATGGGTGAAAACTTTCCAGATTAACAAAACACCAAAACCCCTAACAAAAATTATCCAGGGACACACTATAAGCAAGTTGTGATGAGTTTAAAGCAAAGAGATAGTTTTTAAAAGCATCAAGCAAAAAATATCGCTCACATGTGGTGGAAGTGTCTTAAGGCTGTCAGTAGATTTCTCAGCAGAATCCTTGCAGACAAGGTGGAAGCAGGACGATGTAGCCAAAGTTCAGAAAGAAAGCAGCCATGCCAACTAAAAATACTCTAGCCAGCACAGCTGCCAATCAAAAATAGGGGACCACATTTCCACAAAGGCAAGAGTTACAGGAGCAAATCATCATTAGAGCTCCCTCTCAAAAGATGCTTGAAGAAGCTTCTTCAAGTTGAAAAAAAAGACAAATATAAAGAACAATATGAAAATATATAAAACTCACTGGTAAAGACAAAAGCATAATCACAGTCAGAATAGTGTAATATCATAACAATGGTTTACAAATAATTTAAAACTCTAGTATAAAAGTTAAAAGACAAAAATATTGAAAACAATTATATCTATATAAATTTAACGGGTGTACAGTATAAAGGGCTTCAAAGTGTGGCAAAACATAACTTTCAGGGTGGGGAGAAGTAAAATTGCAGTTTTCAGTGCAATCAAAGGTAATTTGTTATCAGCATGGAACAAACTGCTATAACTGTGACATCTATTCAAACTGCATAGGAACCACAAGGAAACGGCTACAGTGGGTAAACTAAAGCTGAGAATAAAGCACCAAAGTACAGCACGACCAAAAATATAAAACCAGCAAAGCACAAAGAAGAATATCAGGAGGAGACAGGAACAAAGAAACTCTTAAAACAGTCTAAAAAATGAACAACATCAGTAATAGTAAGTCCTCACCAATCAATAATTGCTTATAAATGAATTTATTTCTCAAATCAAAAGTCACAGAGTGAATGAATGCATAAAATGCCAAAATCCAACAACATGCAATCATACTTTGATACTCAACTGCTTTGACATTCATTGAATTTGGAGCTCAGTATATTTTGACATGAAAATTTTGTCCTAGTTTTATATCTTTTCGCACTGCTCACGCAAGCCAGAGCTTGTCTGTGTTGTTTGCCGCATGACTCATTACACTCCCAAGCTAGAACTATTTCTTTAGTGATTCTCATTTTTTGTACTCATCGTGCCTCCAGAAACAATTAACAAGTAGTACAGAGGTAGCATTGTATTGCTTACAAGTTACTCGCTTTGTCTTTAAAGACACACATAGCTAGAAAGTGAAAGGGGAGAAGGAAGGATATCCCATGCAGACACTCACCAAAGAGAGCAGGGGGAGTACATTTACAACAAACAAAACAGACTCAGTGAAAATCTCAAAACTTATCATAAAAGACAAAATCATTACATGATGATAAACAGTCCATTCATCTAGAGGATATAACAGTTATATATCTTCCAATTGTTGGAGCACCTACATATATAACAGAAATGAGGGGGAAAACAGACAGCAGTACAATTAACAGTCCACTTCAATACCCCACTTTGAGTAAGATACAATGACTTTTACAGAAAGTTAACAAAAACAGAGAATGTAAATAGTGCTGTACACTAAATAGACATAACATAACAGATACAGGACTTTACATCCACCAACAGAACATACCAAGTGCACATGGAAAATTCTCCAAGGTGCATCATATGTAATAACCACAAAATGTGTCTTAACAAATTTGTAAAACTTAAAATGTATCAAGTATCCTTTCCAGCCAAATGGAATGAAACTAGAAATTGGTAACAAGAGTAAAATTTGAAAACTCACAAACACATAGAAATTAAACAACACACTATTGACAGCAAAATCAATATAGGAATCAAAATGGATCTTCAGGCAAAAATGGAAACATGATGCACCAAAATTTGGGATGCAACAAAACCAGTTCAAAGAGAGGATTCTATAGCAATATGGTCATACATTCAGAATAATGAGAAATGTATTTCAAATAAATAACTTATTTTTACATCCAAAGGAATCAGAAAAAAGAGAAATTCTTTCCTCCAGTTAGTACAGAGAAAAATATGGTAAAGATTAGAAAAGAAATAAATAAGATAAAGACTTGAAAACCTATTTTAAAGATTAATACATCAATTTTTTTAAACAAAACAAAACAAGAAAAAAGCAAGCCAAGCTTTTAACTAGATGTAGGAAAAAAAGAAATATGATTCAATTAAATAAGAATTATAATTGAAGAAAGACATTACAACTATGTCACAGAAACACAAAGAATCATAAGAAATCTATGAAAATATGTAAATTAAATGATCTAGAAATGGAAACATTCCTAGAAACATACAATTCACCAAGACTGAAGCAAATAGCTCACTGACCCAAGGAATGAAATCTTCTCAGGTACCAAGATACGGAGATTTATAAAATATAAATGTGCTAAAGGAAGGAGTTGGTCATTATTTCTGTCAATGTGAGGAAAATCTTCACGAAACAGTGACTTTTGGTATATAACTTAAAGGAGGAGTTTATCAAAAGGAGAAAAATGAAGGAAAGTTGAAGGAGCTGGGGGAAAACGGAGAATTGGGAAATACCTGGAAAGTGGAGCAAAGTATGGGTATGATTATGATTATGATTTGTGTCTAGATGTCCCCCAAGGCTCCTGCAGTCGTGGAGGCAGCAGAGTCTAGTGTTTATGATTGGTTCCTTGTCCAGCACTGGGATTGGTGGTGTGAGTGCTGCATCCGCCCAGGGGCGGAGCCAGCAAACAATATAAGGGAGGGAAGGCTTGTGTGTTTTCCCCTTTTCCCCCTTTCACTCTTGTCATTTGCTGCTGCCATTAAAAGCTGCCCCTCAGCCTCCTCACGTGCCTTGGAGCCAGCTGAGTATGGACTGAAACCTCCAAAAAGCTGTAAGCTAAATAAACCTTCCCTTCCCTAATTTTGGGCATCAGGTATTTTGTCTCAGCAATGAGAAAAAAGTAACCAAGATAGGTAGCAAATCAGAAAACAGCACAGAAATGAAAGCAATGCATAAAGAAGTGCTTGGGTGGAGATGAACAAATGTGGAATCTGGAGTTTCACAGTCAGGTGCACAAGGCATGGGAAAAGAAAAAGAAAATGAAGCTGCAGCCTCTGGCGCATGGAGCAATGCGGGCAAAACTCAGATTTCAGCAGGCTCCACCCCCAGGCAGTACGGCTTCCTGTGTGCATCTGTCCACCTGTTCCACACTGCAACAAGACACCAGTGGCTGTGTGCTCCGGAGAGGAGGTCAGCTTACTCACAGCTCTGGTGGCCACGAGCCTGGCACCTGCCTACTGGTGAGCTCTCCCTCCCGCTCTCCCTCCCACAAGGCAGGAGAGCAACCAACCGCACACAGAGGGAGCCATATCTACGGTGGCCTTCAGGGCTCCACCATCCTCACATGGCCACGCTAGGGTCCTGGCTTCCAGCACATGAACCTTCTGGGGACAAACCACATCCTGCCACAGTGAGTTTGTTTAGGGAAGGAAGTAATTGCAGCCTGTCACAGATGAAAATATTGCTCCCGGCTCCTTACCAGTCCTCAAATTAATGAGTCAAAAACGCTTTACATCTCTAGCATAAGTCCTCCACTTGAAGGAATGTGGTAATGAAGTTGAGCTTCTCCCAGAATTAAGGAAGTCAGACACCTGCACAATCCTAGTCCGACAAACTCTAGATCAAGGTTTGCTTCCAAGGACAGGAGGGAGAGATGCGCCCTGCGGCGGAGGTGAGGCACAGGCAGAGCTGAGCTTCGGGATGTGTGGGAGGGAGGGACGCTGCTGTGGAAATAATTTTGGAATCCTCTTACAAGAATAAACAATGACCTCTAGTCCTAAGACAAATACCAGCTTTTCTGAAGGGAAAGAAGCTCTTAGAATGCAGACCTGGCCACGGATGCTGCCTCGGAGGGTGAGTGACAGTGACTGGAGCCTGGGATCAGCCCCCCTGCCAGGCCACGTTCTAATTGCGCCACCTGGCAGACCCGAACTAGGGCAGCACCGCCGGCGTCTCTGGCCCTCAGGGCATTTTAATTGCTTGTGCTGACATCATCTGAGGCCTCTGGTCTGGTTCGGAGTCCTTTTATAACGATCCTCTCTGTTCACAAATCAGATACAAAGGAGAAAAGTCAGCCTCAGTGTCTTCCCGCCCCCAGCCTGCTGTATATTTTACAGATGTTTGGTATTTAAATTGTGATGAGGGCGAGATGAAGACAGACCACAGACAGAGGGGAGGGTGCAGACAGGAACTCGTTCGGAGTAAGTGTGTCCACCAGAAGGTGGGGGGAGGCTCTCGGGAGCATCCAGGGTCGGGAGCATCCAGGGTCAGGAGCAGGCGCGTGCAGCACCTCTGCCAGCTGTTGGCTGGCAGCCAGCATTCAGAGGACAAAATGGCTTCGTGTGCACAGCAAGCGGTGCTGGAGCCGGGCAGGGAGCTCCTCGCTGAAACCACCGTGCGGTGTTTGCACTTCCGGCTGCAGCCTCCCACAGCCGCCCGCTTGCTGTCCGGCAGAGGCAGGGCTTTGCCTGTGCGTGCGCCAGCGTGTGTGTGCGTGTGCGTGTGCCTGTGCGCGCACACAAGCCTCCTCTGTTCTCTGCAGCAGGCTGCAGGCTGGGAAAGCAGACACACTCCTGTCCCACCTGCTGGCAGCTCCCTGAAATGCAGGATGCACCTGGCAAATATGTAGCCTTTCACGGCTTCCTCCAAATTCCACGCCTCTCTCTCTCATGGGGAAGGCTGAATGTGGCCCGGGAACAACTGCGAGGGGGAGACTAACATGATCCGGTATCTGTTAAAATGCGTCTGTAGCTCAGGTGGCACATCTGGGTTATACACAGGAACAGAGTTAGAGGGTGGATGGAAAAGGACAGGCACAGGTGACTTCTACCTGCAGCTTCTTTTGTATTAAATGTATTGGTCTATTTTTGGCAAACATGCATCAGTTGTACACAGCAGTGGGTTCCATGTGCTGTTTCCACACGTGCATGTGGTGTGCACTGATCAGATCCGGATTCCTTTGACCACAGTGTCCCTGAGCACCCGCCTACCGTCAGCTGTCACCATTCTGCACTCGTGGTGACTGAGCTCCCACATGGAGAGAGAACTTTGCTCTCCTGCACCATATACTTTGCTGTCAATGACTTGCTATCAGCACTGCTTTCGTGCAGAATAATCATCCCACTGTGTGCGCTCACCACGCTTCCTTATCCATTCACCATGGTGGACACCCAGGTTGACTCCGTGCTATGGGTATGCTGATTTTACCGCCTTTCAATCCACACCTGGCAGTGGGTGCTCCAGACTGTAGGGCCTTGAGGGACTTCCCTCTAGCCCTCCATGGTGGTTGTGCTAACTCACATTCCCTCTGAGATGCATGAGAAGTCATTTCCTGCATCCTCCCTAGAATGCTGGGGTTGTTACTTTTTTACTTTGATTTCTCTTCCTTTTTTAACAGGACTTTTGTCCACCGCTATTTTGAATACTGTATTCTACCAAGTCCAGAAGTAACTGTGCTTTCTCCAGAATGGCCACACAAAGAGCTCCATGGCTACCCAGGGAGGTAAAAGTTCTTCTGTCCAAATATCTCTTGGGCTGTGGACACTGACAGAGGCATCAGACAGAGCAGCCCCCTGACTCCTCAGCCCCCCAGGGCAGCAGCTGTGCCTCCTAAAACACCAGAGCCAGGGGCATGGGAGAAGGCGCGAAGGGCCAGATGCTGCACTTCTCACGCTGACCACTGGATCATGGGCCAGACAGGTGAGTTGTGGGTCATCTGAATTTCCCTGGTGAACTGAGCCAATCTTGAGTCCCTTGTCCTGACCGTGGAGTAGTTGACGATAGCTGTTCAGAGGAGAGGACACAGCCAGGACAACTCACAGGCAGAATCAGTCACCTTGACTCCACCAGCCAGTCGTCCTCCAACCAGAAGTACTCAAAGGGGCCAATAAAACCTGACAGAATGGCACATCAGAGGCAGGAACCACACTTCTCATTCTATTACAGTGTAAGAAGAAAAAAAAGGGGACTGTGAGGACCTGGGGAAAGGGCAGTTGGGTCAGAAGGGAACATCTTCAGTAAACAGCCAGAGACTCTCAGCCCTCATCACAGACCAGCAAAACCTCCACGTCACAAGGGAACAGCAGCCTTCAAGGGGAAAGATGGTGATCATCTCCCTCTGGAGAAAATCCCTCCGCCCCCACAATGGGGGCAGAGGTGCAGCCACCTCACCCCGCAGCATGTGGGTGCAGGAGGAGCCTCTGCTGGGCCCCTGAGAAGCTCTCTGAAGCCCTGACCTCTGGTGACTTCCTGCGTCTGCCCAAGCAGAGATGTGAGCAGCAGGTTCGGGGCTGGAGCTCCCCTCTTCTTGGGAAAGGCATCATTCTGCCGGTTTTCAGCCTCTCCCACTTCTGTAGGAACCCCCAGTTGCATGGAAATGTAGCTATTCCCTCCTGCCTCAGCCTCCTTCAGGGACCTCCTGCCACTGGAGTCAATCTCCACCTGCAGTCAGGGCAGCACAGTCCCCTGGGGGCTCAGCAGAGGGAATCTGCCTCAGCAGCAACTGGGCTTCACCAGCTGACCAGATCTGGCCTTTCCGTGCTTGCCACAGGACAGTCATGCAGGCCGTCTCTCTGTGCCGACACTCTCAGAGAAGCTGGAATTCAGCTGTGATCGTTAATCATGAGGTCATCTTGACTTGGATTAAGAACCATCTAGCAGAACAGTAAAGTTCTGGGTGGGGCTGTGGGTGACTGACATACATACAGGCCAGCAAACTCAGAGGTGAAGACTCACCCTGAATGTGGATGCTCCCAGCCAATAAGCTGGTGTGCTGGGCAGAATAAAAAGGGAAAGAAGGAAGTCTTTCTCTTCTGATCCTGCAAGCCTAAGTACTAAACCCCTTTGTATAATTATTGTATATGGATTCTGTTCCCCAGAGAGTCATAGCTAATACCCAGCCTCTTCCTGGCCACACCTCCCTCCTGCCTCCCTCCCTGGCCAGTGCCACCCCTGTGGTGGGCTCTGAGGCTATCCCTGCCCACTCTGTTCCTCCTCTGTGCCTTTACACAAGTTTCTTCCAATTAACCTCCCATGTCCCTCATTCCACTTTGCCGGACACTTCCCTGAGGATCAGAAGTTATACCTCCTGCCTGAGGCGGCCAGAGAGTCACCCTGTGCCCAAAGACAAAGCTCTCATCTGCCCTCCAGGCCTGGGGTGCTGAGACCCTGGATTACTCGTTTGTCACAGGGCACAAGTCACAATGGCCAGTGCTCACTCATATTTATGTGCCAAGCACTCCTGTGGCCCCATAGAGAAAGCCACCAAAGTGGTCTCCATCTTTCCTGTGAGAAAACTGGCAGCTCAATGTCACACAGCTCCCAAGGACTGGGAGGAGTCACCCCAGCTCTGGCAATGATCCCACGGTGGTTGCTCACTATAGGAGCAACTATCTCCTATCCATCACTTAGCCCAGGGCCCAGTACCTCCCTGACAGCTGGGAATCAGGATGTGAGCTCCTGAATAGAAACCTATCTGTCATGAGCTCAGTACTTCCCAACCTATAGGGAGAGGTGACTCTGTTACCAGGTAGCTTTGGGCTCAACCTTTGTTTGGTCCTTCGACTGAAAAGTCATTAATTGTGTGGTTGTGTTGAAGGTCCTCTAAGTGCAGATTGAAAGTTTTGTAATGAGCTTTAAGAAGTGTTGGGAGCAGGAGCCAGGGGTCCGGCAGTGAACGGGTGTGGGAAACCACACACTGAAGCTGGACCTCAATCAGTTCCTCATCCTGCAGTGACCTCAGCCTTCTAGACAAAGCATCGCGCTGATATTAACCTGGGAAAAGCTTCATAACATAAACAATAGAAGTTTCTCATGGGCCCAAGAACATGTTTACCTCCTGGGCTGCACAACATAGAAGTTTCTCACGGGCCCAGGAGCATGTTTACCTTTGCTGTGTGCACAAGAAAGTGTCCTGAAGTGACTTGTACTGCTCTTTGTTTTGAAACATTATAAAAACTCTGTAGTCTTTCAATAAATCGCCTTTTGCCTCCTGAGCAACTGGTCTCCCTGTGTCTTCAGTCTCTCGCCTGACTCCTTCCCCGCGCTGGCCGCGGCACCTGGCAAAGAAGCTTTTAATTGCGTTCACAATCATCCGCTATGTGCTGTTTCCAGTATCCCCACTTCAGATCCAGAAGGACAAGAGCGACCTGGTGAAGCTTCAGCACATTCTGTCACGTTAAACAGAAGTCTCAGCTATCGGGATACGCACATGTGTAATCTCGGCTATTTGGGAAGCTAAGGCAGGAAGATCACAAAATCAAGCCCAGTCTCATGACAGCAAGACCTGTGTTTAAAAAAAAAAAAAGGAAAAATTCCCAACATGAATGAGAAGTAGGAAAAAGGAAGAGGAGAAGTTGGGAGCATAAATGAGATCAGAGGAGGGGGAGAAGGTGAGAAAGTGCAGAGCCCCGGCCTTGGAAACAGAAAGAGTAAAGAGGCATCCTCTCTGCGTCTAACTGGGGCTCCACTCCCGCGTTCCAGCCAGCAGGCCTGGCTATGGAACTGTAATTGGCTGCGCGTAGATAGCATCACACGCCGGCCAAAGCAGAACTGAATTTAAATTGCGTTTGAAAGTCTGAGAGTGGAATTCCTCGTGGAGAGTGACTGAAATTGGCTCCTGTCATTGTTTGACCATAATCAATGAATCCGCAAGAAAGAAGCCCCAATAACCCATCCCGGGAAACCAGGCAAAGGCAGAAATGAAACTCAATTCATGTGTTACCCCCCTAAACAGCCCTTTATATCTTCATGGAAGATCTAAAAATAGCTTATGCTGAATGTTGAGCCCTTGTACGCAATGGAGAGAGTCTGTGCATGAAAGCTGGGAACTCATTTATTCTCTGCATTAAAGGCTGCAACAGTAAGAGCACAATTAACAGAAGAGGCCGGTGGGAAATTATGCATGGTACTTTCTGTTTATTGCAGAGAGACTTCATGCTCATAGCTACCGAAAGGCAATTGTGTGCACGCCAGGCAAAGCTCACACGTGGCACCATCCCCTCTGCACGGAAGGCTCTGGAAATGGCTGTGCTGGCAAAAGCAGAAGTAGTGGTCTGAGAGTCCCTCTAAGCCGTTAAGAGTCCTGAATATCATTTCCTCTGGCCACTGCTGCAGGTCAAGTCCACAGCTGTGCATAGCTGTGCTCCGAAAAGCACCAGGTTTAGAACTCATCTGTGGCCATCAGACTCCTCTAGAGGGGACATGACCCGCGGTGGGTCTGAGCAGTTCTGGGGTGCTGCATCAGTTACCTTTCCTCTGATACAATGCCACCGCAAAGAAAAGGAACCCAGAGATTAGTGGACTGAGCTGGGCCCTTGCACCCACATACTATGGCTGACCTTGAGTTCAAAATGTCTGTCTTGCCACAGAAGAAGAGTGACAAAATGTCTCCAAGATGTCTCAGGTCCTGCTACTGGAGACTGCTAAGGGTTTCCCTTAGGATGCCAGTAACAGAGATGTAACAAGGGTCACACTTGTCCCTTGATCCAAGAGTGAGATTTAACATTCCTGCCCCTCCCCATCTCCACATCTTATGAAATTTGTGACTTTTGCAGAGGCCATGTTTGGATGCCAGCTAGGAACCTGGCACACTGGAGTAAGCCACTGCCAGCCAGACAGCATCTGCAGTTCCAAAAACTCAGGGGATCCTCTTTCTGCTCTGTGTCACTTATGAGTGATTTTTTTGTGAGCTGATGAAACTCTTCCTCTTCTTAGAGAAATAAATTGTCACAAAAAAACAAGCCCCTGGCAGTGCTCTGACTGAGCTGGAGAGAGAGGGGCACACTCAGATGGCACAAGTGAGCTATATCCTGAAGAACAGGTGACAGTTCTCCAGAGTCTGGCTCCCTACTAGCCCACAATGAAATTTAGGTGGGAAAAAACTCTGCATCACTGTTTTTGTCCTGAAGAATTTTGGTGTTTATTAAAATCTGAAGATATATCCTTTAAGAATATGAAAGTTCCGTATATCAATCCCATATCTTTATTATATCTAAAATTGCCAAATGTGGCAGTGTGATATTTCTATAAATGTGTATGCTGACCCCATGTGTATCGGCCACATTCTCATTGCTAGTGCAAAATGCCAACACCCACAACATAAGGAAGTTTATTTGGCTCATGGTTGCAAAGGGTTCAGTCCGTGGTCATGGCTCCAAAGCAGAAATGTCATGGCAGAAGGCTGTAGGAGGGGAAAGCCGCTCAGCCTGTGGCAGGCAGGAAGCAGAGAGAGAAGGGAGGAGACAAGAGCACACCCTTCCGAGCCACACCTCCTGTGGCTCGCATCTCCTGAGAGCACGTGTGGCTGAGGACTCATCAATGGACAGACCCGCTGACGGGCCACAACCCCTTGGTACTATCACCTCCCCAAAGCTCCATCTCTGAACACATGAAACTCTGGGAGGGAATTTGAGAACTAAATCGTAACACTGTGGAAATACGGTTAGTGCTTACACGGAGCTTGGGTGATTGGCTGCTTGGGGTCAAAGTCACAGCTATGCAGTGTTTCCAGCTGGCCTTTTCAATCTGCAAATGGACTAAAGAACTCCCCAAGCTCTGGCAATGTAGGACACGATCGCATATTCCATATGGCACACAAGTGAAATGGTCACAGACGCAGATAATAAACATTTCCCACTAACTTTCAGCAGATGAATGAGTTAAGCACCGTTGCAGTGGATTTTTTTTCACAAATGTCTGGAGACTTCCTAGTGAGTTCAGCCCGCACCCACATGGTGAGGCCCCTGAGCCAGCGGTTGCCCACAGTCCCCCTGTCCTCCCCGGTGAATTTGCTAGGAGGAATCAGTGTGACCACGCTGGCCTCAAGCGTCATTGCAGTCACCAGGAGCCTTCCCAGAAGCAGACCTGTCCCCTCCTCAGAGCACAGGAAGGACACCAGGGCTGGGTGAAATGTTTTCAAAAGGCTGGCACTTTGAGCACAAAATGGGCAGAGGATGCTTTCAGATCTGGGCTGCAAGACACACTCACGATGGCTCACTGCAGATTACTGGGCTCAGAATCACCCGCATGGCCGTGGGCGGACACCTTAGGCGGCTGGGACCAAGGTAGAGAGAAAACAGACAGGTGATCGGGTCTCTCCCCTTCCTGGACATCAGGCCTCAGGCGCCTAGCTCTCTGGTCTCCGAATTCCAGAGCTTTCAGAAGTGGATCTTAGATTCCCAGGATGTGATTTTAGGCTGAGACCAGCACCACAGCATTTTGTTCCCTGACTAATGCGCGTGTCCTGGGGGCTCTGGCCTTGGACAGAGCCATGGTACTGGCATCCCAGGGACTCCAGCTCAGATGGGCCTAACTAGGGACTTGCCCAATCTTGGGGGACTGTGCAGCCCCCCTTATCATAGGAACAAATTTTCCTAATGCATCCCCCTCTTGTCTGTCTTTCTGTCTACCTGTTCATCCGTCCACCATCCATCCTTGGATCTATCATCTACCTCTCCCCTTGGCGCTTTCCTTTGGAGCACCCTGATACAGGCAGAAGCATCTGGATGTGATTCCTAAATGCAATAAATGCTGAGTGAGGTGAATGAACATTAATAAAATCGGATGAAACGGTAGCGGGAGGCCTGGCAAGTCCCATAAATGTGTGGGAGATAAAGCAGACAGGCCCCCGGCAGCCTTGCGGCAGTGATAACAGCCACCGTAGCAGGAAGAAATCAGCAGTTAAGAAGCAAATAAGATCATGTGGGGATTCAAAATTGGTATGAGAAATATGTTCTTGTTTCTAAAGATGAAAACATTCACAGCGTGGATTATAAATATGCAGCTATTATCAATGATTCCATACAAAGTGTGTTATTATCTGGATTATTAAACTAGCAGCTTAGATGCAGCCATTATGAAATGATTGTATGGAAGGGACATTGCGCAAGTGGGGTCCAATTAGACAGAGTACGGAAGCCCGATGGGAAGCCAGGGCGAACAAACTCATCTCGGGAAGGGGCTGGAGTCCAGAGGAGGCCGTGTCACGGGCCCTGCTCTTGCCCATAAAAATACAAAACGAAAGTCATATCTTCGAATTCAGCTATCGTGCACATGCATTGCTGTGTGTAATTATAGCAAGTAAATCCTGTAGACTTCTGAAAATTTCATGCAGATGAATTTTTAGCAAATCAAATTATGATTTAAATGCACAAAGGGAAAGAATGCGTAGAAGATTGCTCCACAGATTTTTAAAGCATGCAGATCTCAGTTATTAATGATAACGGCCTGGGCAGCTAATCACTGAGCGTAGTTCTAATCTGATGACAAAACTCACTGTATAAAATGACAGTGACAGTAAAGTAAAATGAGTAGCCCTTTGCTAAGTGACAATCTCTGCCACCAAGCAAACCTTTTCCTCAGGTTTTGTGTTCCACGCATTTGTGCTCCAGAGGACAGAGCCAGCTGCTCCGACAGGGTGTGGCCCCAAGATGAGTTTGTTGGGCCACCCAGACTGGAGTTAGCTCCTGAGGGCTGCAGGGAGCTGACGCACAGCACACAGGTGCACGAGACAGAAGCAGTAAGGACAGAGACGCGGTGTGGGGGCCGGCTGCACGGCAGTTAAAGATTTCAGGCATCAGTAAGCAACCAAGAGGGCTAAAGAGGTGGCTTTTGTCACCAAATATTAGAGTGGGGCATGTGGGCCAATGCATGACCATAACGGATTCTGTTGCCTTGGACAAAGCTGAATGTTTAATCACTGAAAATCAGCCTCCCATCTGAGGGTCTGCGCCTCCGTCTTGTGCAGGGTTAGCGGGGGCAAGCAGGTTCCCAAGGGTCTGATGATTCCCCCAGACTCTGATGCAGATGAGTTGCTAGATGCAGAAAGATGGAAGCAAAATTAGGGGCCCCACCAGCCTGATCGCAGAGGTGCTAGGTTAGCCAGGGCCTCCACCTGGCTCCATCCCACTGCCGGCAACCCCAGCTGGACCTCTGCAACTGACAAGGATCCAGCTGGAGCTCCCATCAATGCCAAACGTGGGCTGTGTGTCCTTCC